GAAAAAAAAACACAACTCTGTAGGAATAACAGACCTGAGACCCAAAAACGATAGAACTGAAAAGTGGGAAAACTTCATTCAAATGCACGAAGTTCTTTTTGCTATGAACTGGGTGCATTGGTAGTTCTTTTCCCTTGCATTATTGACAGCTGGGGTAACTTCGACTTACTCCATCACTTGCCACAGACCGAATATATATTAAACCAGTAGGACACCCATAGCTGTTTAGATGTTGCTAAACTACTGGCATCCGTCACCATTAGCTATGCCACCTGGGGCTCCTAGAGACGCTTAGTTCTTTCTCGCTCTCTGGGAAAAAAAAGAAAGTTGTAAAAGCTGGCTTCAAGGGGCTGAACATCTGCACTGTATTTTAAGCACCCTTCCTGAACCTACGGCAGATTGAGGATGTAATTTATGTGATCAAGTCTGCTCACACCTTGGGGGATTAAACCAACCATTTGTGTGTGTGTGTGTATGTGTATGTGTTTTATTTTTGAATGCCAGGCACTTTGTGAGGCAATGGCTAATCAGTACAGCGCAGGTAATGATTGCATTCATTTTAACCCTGGAAAGGACTCGCTAAAGCATTATTTCTTGACAAGGCTGCAAATGATCCATCCTCATTTTCTCCAATTATTTCCTGAAATTTCTTGCAATTACGCCGCAATTTTATTCCAGAGGACAACTTGACAAAAACATGTGCTCCTCTTATTGGCTTTTTGTTTTATTCGGTATTTGCTTTTAAAACAGAAAAGCTTCCATTGGATGTGTTGCTCCGCTGTACATTTTGCTACAGTTCCTGGCATCAGATACATCTATTTTATTCCCCCCCCCCACTTACGGTTTAAACTATCCTATGCTGTATTTTATCAATGTTTGGGTTGGTGTGAAATGCTCGCTCTTGTCATTTCCAAGAGGGGGCGGGGATAAGTGTTGCTGAAGATGTGATATGATTTACAAACTCACTAACTTGACAAAGGGCATTTTGACCAGTGACAAAGTGTTTCACTCACGTGTACATCTAATGAGAGCAACAGTCCATCAGGAGCGCATGAATGAATATGGTTGTGAGAGAAGACAAATGGGTTATAAACTGGTGACCAGTTTGTTCCCATCCAGCTGAAGAAACTAAACAATCAGATTTCTGCCAGATGTGATCATTGTTAGTTGAGCAGCATATGAGGCTTAAAAGGAGGACGAGAGAAAGGAATGAAGAATTTTGGTGCCCAATATACCCATAGCAAGGCATGGTGGCAAGGTAGTTAGAGTGTAGGATTGCAGGCTAATTCTGCCAACTGCCAGCAGCTCGATCCTGACAGGCCTCAAGAAAATATCCTTCTTAAATGGTAATGCAGCCTCTTCTTGAAGACATCCAGCAATGAAAAGTCCATCAAGTTTCTTGGTAACTGGACTATCAAATTTCTTTTACCATTTTTTTTTTTTTTGCTAGCTTAAATCAGTATTCTTGTCATTTAAATCCATTTTGTGTCCTGTTGTCTGGGATGAGCTTCAGATGATTGACAAGTGTTATCATTGTTCCAGCTTTAGTTGTTTCTTCCATTCTAAGAGCCGTGGTGGTGCAGTGGTTAGAGTGCAGTACTGCAGGCTACTTCTGCTGACTGCTGGTTGCCTGGAAGTTGGCAGTTCGATTCTCACCAGGCTCAAGATTGACTCAGCCTTCCATCCTTCCAAGGTGGGTAAAATGAGGATCCAGATTGATGGGGGCAATATACTGACTCTGTAAACCACTTAGAGAGGACTGTAAAGCACTGTGAAGTGGTATATAAGTCTAAGTGCTATTGCTATATCCATGATTCTTTATGCACATGGGTCTCCTTATCTTCAAAAAGGTTTATAGCTTATCTTCCTCTTCCTCAACTTCTCTATCATTATATAGGTAGTCCTCAACTTACAACTATTTGTTTAGTGACCATTCAAAGTTACAACAGCACTGAAAAAGTGACTTAAGACTGCAGCATCCCCATGTTAGTGGAATTAAAATTTGGTCAATTGGCAACTGGCAAATATTTATGATAGTTGAACTTTCCCCAGGGTCATGGGGTCATTTGTAACTTTTCCAGTTGACTTTAAGCAAGCAAAGTCAATGGGAAAAGCCAGATTTGCTTAATGACCACCTAATTCACTTAACAACTGCAATGATTCGCTTAACACCTGTGGCAAAAATGGTCATATAGGAGGGCAAAACTGCCTTCTGCTAAGCAGTGGAAAGTTTATTATCAATTGTGGTCACAAATTGAGAACTACTTGTGTAATAATATTGTCATTTAAATGATCTTTGCTTTACCAGCTCTAGTGCTCTAAGTTTTCTGAAGATAAACAGCTATTCTGTTTGTTAGCCTTTGCCACTTGAAGAGGTCTGGACTTCAACTCCCAGAATTCCCCCAGCCAGTTGAAGTCCACACATCTTCAAGTTATCAATGGTAATTGCTGAGTGCCAATGAACCAAGTGGTGTTACTTCCAAGTAGTTCTTTATTGTTGATCGCCTACAAACAGAATCTTGCCAGACTAAAGCAAGTATCTGCATAACTATTCGATATAGTCTGTGAATTGCTAGGGAGAATCCACTTTCACTCTCTTCCTGCCTATCAGACATTTTAAGCTCCTCTGGGAAAAAGCCCCTCTCTTCTGTGACTCCTGACTACATTCCACCACAATGGACAAACAAGAAGCTTCTTGGATGAAAAACGAAACATCTTCAAAGAAAAACAAACACAACTACAAACAACAAACAAACAGAAGAAGGCAATGGAAAATCACTTCTGAACATCACGAATGAAGACCAATATACTTGTCCTAGGATAATGATGTGAAATTGAATTTGGGTTACTGGGAACAGAGCTTTAGTCTTCTGAGTTTTTGGATTCATGCTGGAGCCCATCTTCAGGGATTTCTCTACTAGAATACATGCTTTGGGCTGTTCTGTGAGTCGCGTTTATGTGGTGCCTTCCTATTGGCTGATTGGTGTGTTGATGGCTGGCGATTGAAAGATGGGCTCCAGCATGAGTCAGAAAACTTGGAAGAGTAATTTCCTGATCTCAGTGACTGACCAAAATTCAATTTCACTTCTGAAAATCCTTGCCAAGAAAAACACAAAATTGGACACAACTGAACAAAAGGAAAAAGAACCCTCCTAATAAAGCATACAAATATCTGTACTTTTATGAGTCAAGCTGTAGATATCTCTAGTAGAAATTAAAAATTGGCTTTTGTATTTAACCAAGTTTCATCCTTTTTTTCTTTCCCTTCCTTTTCCCTGATGCAAATTCTAAAATCTAGGATTCTTAGGAACAGGGCCCTAACTTTCATTTCCTATAAAGAACCCCATACATCCATACACAATATATGCATGCAGATTATTATTTCATTCAAATAGTTAAATAATAAGTCCACAGAAGGAACGGGGGCATGGAGAATGCATCAAAAGAGACCCTCCCTAGTTTCTTGGTCTGTAAAGGTGAAGGGCAGAGAGATGGACTTTCAGACTTGAAAGAATCTCTTAGTATAACCTTATAATCAGGGGTTGGATGCTACCAGTTTGGCCTGGTTCGGCCGAACCGGTAGCTCCAAAGATCATTGGGGAGTGAACTGGTTCACTGCGATGATCTGCTGTTGGGCCCACCCACCCACCTGGGCTCCCATACTAACCTTTATTTTCTGCTTTTGAAGCGCAGCTGCTTTGCACGGCACAGCAGATTGCCGCACATCAACTTTTGAAGACACAGGAAGAGTGCAGGATTGTAGGAGGTGAGTAGGAAAGCCTCTGCATGTGTGTAAAGCACATGTTTGGCATGCACTGTGATGACCCAGGCGTGGCACAAAGGCAACACAGTCACATAAGTAAGAAGAGTCCCTTTAGTACCTCCAACTTTGCCCCCAATGTTCAGGTTACCTTCAGCTGGAGACAAAACTCTCCCAAGAACAGTCTTTAAGTGGAAGCAATTCAGTCCGAAAACAAACTACATACAAACTGTAAATAAAATCCACACAAACCACGCTGCAGTAATTAACTTGACAGGGCAGGAGAAGGAATTGCAGACTTGAAAGGCCAGCAAAGCACACACAGCTGGGAAGATGCCAGGAACCCAGATAAGCCTCGACAATACCAGATAATTCACAATTTGCTCTCAACAGTTTGCTGTGCGCAACTTCCCCTTTTAAACACTGTTCCCAGCTGCAGCTAATGAAGGGAATCAGGGCCCTTTCCTCCCACTTATGCCACGCAACTCATGTTGCTCCCTTCTCCATTCCTCCCTGTGTGCCCTGCGATGAAGAGGGGGTGGGCCTGGATCTTTCTCTGAATTCCCTCTTCCTTGCTCTACCTCTCCCCTGCTCTGCCCAGCCACACTGTGCCCTTCTCCAGTTTCTTCCACAGCCAACGGAGCCACACTCCCACTCCCTGCCAGCTACTCGGCCTCCCCCTCTGAATCAGATTCCAACAGGGGCATGACATGCACGTGCAAAGTGTGTGTGCACACGCAAAGTGCACCCACCAAGCCATGCCAACCTAACCAGTGGTAAACCACTTTGAAAAACACCACTGCTTATAATAAAATTTAAGTTAGTACTTATTGTATTTCTCATCTGGACTACCTGGCAAAGCTGACACAATCTCTCTTTCTGCATGGCAAAACTTGATTTCACTGTTTGCAAATTACTCCACATTAACACCTGAGCAAATCTTTGTGCTTCAAAGTAAAGGTGATGATTCTATTATCCCACTGCTTTTTGTGCTCTTATTCATATTTTCAGTTTTTTTTTTACAAAGGTCTATCCATGCATTAATATTCATCGGCGACCACTGAATAGCACATCCTTGGAAAGCCTAAACAGCCTGCTCATGCCATCGGACAGTACTTGTCTAAAGTCCAACTTGGAAAGTGACTGTTTCTTTCTAAAGATAATCTACTAACAAGCTTTGGGAAATGTAATCTCCATTGATCTTATGCAGAGGTACAAAGTATTCTGTCACTCTACTTACCCTGACAAGCTGCTGTGGGAAGGGTCCTCTTGAATTTTCTGGCACGTTAATTGGCGGGATGACCCAATCTCGCTTTTGACGCTTGAGTCCGTAAGAATTCTGCTGATGACGCCACGGGAGCAGAATATTGCCAGGTTCTTGAAGGTCTGCTGTCATGTTCTTCTTTCCTTTCTGTTGATTTGGGAAAGAAGGGAGGGGAGTGGGGGAGAAGGGTCATTATTTTGCTTTTGTCAAGTTTCATTAAACAGCGGCAAACAAAAACAAGGAGTCAACCATAACCCAGTTGTTGTTTTGCTCTCCCGCGCGGGAGAGAAAAATCGCTTGTCAGAACTGTTGCTATGTTGAGGCTGATTTGAGCTGGAAAATTCCTGAAAAAATAATAATATTGTTGTTCTTATGATAAAGCAAACATTTCTCCATTACAACAGCGTGTGGTGCTTTTATTGACATCTGTGCTGTGGCTTCATTTTTTTCACTGATGTTTGGAGCTGTCATTAGATAATCAAGTCTTCTTTCACGACGGATTGTCTTCATTATACCAGCGGCAAGAAGCTTGATCAGCTCCTTGGAGGATGAAAATCTGCAGATTTCTAATAATTGCAATCAATCACAACAGCCAAATGAAACAAGTCACAAATACTTCCAGGAGGGAAGTCAAACACCATTATAAACGAGCATTCGTCAATAGCTCTGAATTTTAAACTAGGACTGGAAGTCGTCAGGAAAGCTCCAATCAGTGGTGGGATTCAAATTTTTTTACTACCAGTTCTGTGGGCATGGCTTATTTGATGGGCATGACTTGGTGGTCATGTGACTGGGTGGGTGTGCCTTGGTGGTCATATGACTGAGTGGGTGTGCGAACGGGTGTAAACCAGCTGAATACCACTTCTGGTTCCAATGCACCTAGTCCTCAACTTGCAACCACAACTGAGTCCAGAATTTCTGTTGCTAAGGTGGTTGTTAAGTGAGTTGTTCCAATTTTATGACCTTTTTTTGCCACTGTTGTTAAGGGAATCACTGCAGTTGTTCAGGGAATCATGCAATTAGGTGAATTTGGCTCCCGCCATTGATGGCATGTTGGAAGCCAGTTGAGAAGGTTACAAATGGTGATCACATGACCCCGGGGCCCTGCAATTGTCATAAATACATGCCAGTTGCAAGACTTTTGATCATGTGACTGTAATGGGTCATATGTGTGAGGAATGGTTTCCACTCACTGTTTTCAGAGCAGTTGCAACTTTGAATGGTTGCTAAATGATTGGTTGTACATACCAATCTACATACTACCTATAGATGACCAGTTCATCACAGCTAGGAAGAGAGAGAGAGCCAGTTTGGTCTAGTGCTAAAGACACCAGTCGAGAACCAACCGGGAGACAACCGGGAGTTCTGTCTTAGCCATGCTGGGTAACTTGGGCCAGGCACTCTATTTCAGCCCAACAACCTCATGGGATTGTTGTTGTGAGGAAAATGGAAAGAGGAAGGTGTATTCAGTATGTTCGCTGAGTCATCTATAAAAAAACAATAAAGATGGGATTTTTAAAAAGATCCTAAATAAATTTAAATTTCCTGGGTTTCTTCAGTATTATATTCCATGCCAAGAACAGAGAGGTAGAATTGTGCAGGATATATAAAGTATTGGGCTTGAACTGAGAGTTGATACTCAAGTCTCCATATAAACATAGATTTCTCTGGATAATTTTAGACCCATTCTTTACTTTAGCTAGGCTATCTTTTCTGAGGAATACGTATCCCACATATCTCACTCACAACAGAAACAGGAAGAATGTAAGGGTAGCAATGAGTAAATTCAAAATAAACTGAAAAGTGAAAGAAATGAAGTATGGTAGCATCTGGGATCATTTGCAACACAGGGCACCATGACCTGACATTGTGTGATAGCAGTTTAACAGTGTTTGTTTTAAGTCTACTTAGAAGCTGATGTGTGGGAAACATTCCTGTTCAACTGAACAACTCAGAGGTCGTATATCTTGTTATGAATGTGTCTAACTATTAAGTAGATGGGAGAAGCTCTCTTAAGCTTGTTGGTTTTCACATGGAAGAAAATCCTCTGTGCAACCCAGAGCCATTGAAAACTGTACTTGACCAATTTTTCCTTTTTAGTCGTGGCTTACCTGCTTAAAAAAACCAAACCTTTTAAATTCATGATTATTCTATGTTATTCTTAAATTGTTATTTTTTTCGCTTTCTTTTTATCAGAGCTATGCGAGCCTTTGGATTCAGTTTCCAAAACACAAATAGAGAATTACAGATTACAGATTAACAGAGTTGGAAGGGACTTTATAGGTGATCTAGTCCAGTGGTCGCCAAACTTTTGGAGCTCAGGGACCACCAAACTCATAATTTTAGACCCCAGGGACCACTAACCGGTTCTGAGGGTGTGTCCTAATTTGTGGGTGTGGCTTGATGGTTATGTGACTGGCTGGGCATGGCTTGTCTGTAAATATTATAAATATTTATATAAATATTGAATTTTTTATAAAAAAGGAGCAACTTTTATCCAAAATCAGGCAAAGCAGGCAGATTGAGTTGCTCACAGAATCACAGATTCATTCAGAGATCTATCTATCTGCCATTGGCTAGCTCAGTCTGTCACATAAAATTTGTTTGCAAGCAAACTCATAAAATTAACTCACAACACACCATGCATGTAAATATTGATTTTTTTTATAAAAAGAGCAACTTTTACCCAAAATCAGGCAAAGCAGGCAGATTGAGTTGCTCACAGAATCATTCAGTGATCTATCTATCTGCCATCAGCTATCTCAGTCTCTCAAATTTGCTTGCCCTGAGTCTGCACTGAATTTGCTTGCAAGCAAACCTTCAGTCCTTAGGGAGGTGCGGATGTGCTGAGCCGAAGATCTAAAGATTATCTAGAAAGCAAGAAATCCAACCATTTCCTGCTTCCTAGCTAATCTAAATCTTCTGGCACAGCAGAACAGATGATGGTCAGAAAAAGGAAAAATAGCAATTTAGTAAGCAAGTTTACCGGGTAAGGAGTGAGTGGGCAGGGACGGTTTCCGCGGGCTATGTGGGTAGTGCAGCCTTGTGTTTCTGTGCAGCCTGGATTAATTGCTTTGTGGGGGGTGCTCTGGGGGTGAGATTTCTCTGCAGCCCACCAAAATTTTCTCATGGCCCACCAGTAGGCCGCGGCCCACTAGTTGGCGACCGCTGATCTCATCCAACCCGCCACCCAAGAGGGAGACCCTACACCATTTCTGACAGATGGCAGTCCAGTCTCTTCTTGAAAGCTTCCAGGGATGAAGCTCCCACAACTTCTGAAGACAAGCTGTTCCATTGGTTGATTGTTCTCACTGTCAGAAAATTTATCCTTTATTTCCAGGTTGAATCTCTCCTTGTTCAGTTTCCATCCATTATTCCTTGACTGGCCTTCAGGTACATTGGAAAATAGCTTGATCCCCTCCTCTCTATAGCAGCCCCTAAAATATTGTGTCAGAGTATATTCATGAACTGGAATAGAGCATAGTAAAAAGGTCAATCAATGAATAGGAATCACAACCAAATCAGCCAATGAGGATAGTTTGGAAACTGAAACTAGAAGTAGCCTAGGTGTGGCTCTATATTAAGCTCTGCATCTCTGCAGCTATGTTGAATTCTGAGTCTGTCTATTGAAGATGAAATTAACTTGCTTGCTTGCTGAAGACTGGAGCTCTGCTCTGAACTTGCAACATGTTTCTGTCTGAGTTTGCTCCACGTTAGAGAAATCTACAACTGGTTTGTAAAATCTACTTATGTTTTTAAAGATGTTAGATGAAGCATCAGCCATCTGTGTTTATTTTTCTGGAGCTGAGTTATCACTGCAAAACTCTCAATATATTGGAACACTGCTATCATGTCTCACTTGGACCTTCTCTTCACTAGATTAGCCATGCCCAGTTCCTGCAAACGTTCATTGTATGCTTTAGCCTCCAGTCCCCTCATTATCTTAGTTACTCTTCTCTGCACTTTTTCTAGAGTCTTAACATCTTTTTATAGTGTGGTGACCAAAACTGGATGCAGTACTCTAGGTGTGGTCTTACTAAGGCTTTATAGAGTGGTATTAGTACCTCCATTGGTCTTGATTGTATGCCTCTGTTAATGCAGTTTAGGACTACATTGGCTTTTTTTGGCTGCTGCTGCACACTGCTGGCTCATATTTAACTGGTTGTCCACTAAGACTCCAAGATCCCTCTCACAGTTACTGCTATTGAGCCTGGTTTCACCCAGTCTATACATGTACTTTTGGTTTTTCTTCCCTAAGTGTAGGACTTCACTTTTCTCTACATTGAATTTCATTTTATTAGATATGGCCCAGTGTTCTACTCTGTCAAGATCCATCTGGATCTTGAGCCTATCTTCTTGGGTGTTAGCTATTCCTGCCAACTTAGTATCATCTGCGAATTTGGTAAGTTCCCCTTCGATTCTGTCATTCTAAGTCATTTATGAAGATATTGAAGAATACTGGGCCTAGGATAGAACCTTGTGGTATCCCACTGATTATTTTCCTCTATGTAAATATAGCACCATTAAGCCAATGCTCTTTAAAGCAGCTGCATCTTTTAACAAGATCACAGCCCATCCTCCCCGCTGCCACTGCTCCATGCTCTGGGGGAAAAAACACAACTGCTTTAAAATGTTGCAGGCAGATGCTAGATTTGTGCTCCTGGGCACTTCAAAGTACCGTTTAAAGATCAAATCCAGAGTGCTGTTTTCACAATCCTACTTTGTGTAATTCAGCATTTCATTGTTGTCTCTTTCTTCTTATCTGCCTAGAGTGCCCAAGTGAGGGGAGAGGGAGGTAACTACTACGTGCATGGGAACCTGCTGACTTGAATAGAACTGAGAGGTTTAGAGCGAATTGTTTTCAACTTTCCTAAATGGACTGCATACAGCTGCTCCTGTATCTTTCTCATACTGTGGCACTAAGTCCTTAGGGAATCTCATTTAATCTCCTTCTGCCATTCTCGATGCTTTTACAAGAGCAGTCAAGGCACAGCTCTTTTGAATGGGATTTATCTGCTCGTCATGTTTAAATGTTCATTTTAAATGTTTTGTTTTTGTCTTTTATTTTAATTTTTTTTAGCCAACGCTAAAGTGCTCTGAGACTTTAGAATGCAAACAGACAGGCACCTGCCACATAATGCTCCAGA